CTGCTCTGACTTTTAAATTAAAGGTCTCAATTAGACAGCAGCTGGTACGGCATGTAGGATAAGCACTAGACTCCAATATCAGTGGTTCAAACCCACCACCTGCTTTTTGGAAAGCCTATAGAGGGTTGCTTTGACTCAGAAATGACATGATGGCACTTGACAAGACAGTGGCTGAATAAAATCTTAAGCTGCATTTTCTGGGAAAATGAGGATTTTGAGCAAGGAAAAGGTTTAGGCTTTCTCTTGTCTGATGATAAGATTTCTAGTCTGCCACGAAGTTTGCAGTCAAATTTGAAGCTTGAACAGCCATTGTTAGAGCTCTGCCTATATGCCTTGAGGTCTGGCTTCCAATGGCCAACAACCTATGGGCCATCCATGAAAACCCAGGTTAGGAGTCTTATGGATTTACATTTCCCCTAGAAGTTGTGGCGTGGCACTGTAGGATAAGCAACTGTTAACCACAAGGCTGGCAATTCAAACCCACCATCTGCTCCTTGGAAATCCCATACAGACAGGTTCGCTATGAGTCAGAACTGCCACTGTGGCACTAACTGGTGGTAATAGGCTGCTAACTGGAAGGCTGCTGGTTTTAACCTACTAGTTCATTCACAGGAGAAAGATGCAACAATTTACTTCCATAAAGATAATTTGAAGACCCCAGGAAGTTTTACCTGGACTCCTGGTGTGGTGCTGCAGGTTAATGCACTGGACTGTAAAGTCGGTTTGAACCACAAGGTTGGTGGTTCAAGCTCACTAGCCACTTCTTGGAAACCCTATACAGGGTCACTATGGGTCAGAACTGACTCAACGGCCCTTAACAACAGCGAATAGCATCTTTATGAGTTGGAATCGACTTGATGGTAGTGGGTTTGGGGGTGGCTTAAAGAGCTCTGGTGAGACTCAATTGCTAACTGGAGAGTCCTCAGTTCAAACCAGTCAGCTTCCATAAAGATTACAACCTTGGAAGCCCTCTGGGGCAGTTCTACTCTGTACTTTGGGGTTGCTATGAGTTGGAATGAACACAACAGTAGCAAGTTCATTTTTTTCTTTGTAGCTCTATGCATTAAGTGCTCGGCTGCTAACAGAAAGGTTGGTGGTTCGAACCCACCTAGTCGTTTCATGAGACAAAGATCTGGCAATCTGTTCTTGCAAAGATTATAGCCAAGCAAACTCCATAGGAGCAGTTCTACTCTGTCACACATGGGGTCGCTATGAATCAGAAATGGACTCAACAGCACCTCACATGGGCAGCTTTTAATCAGGGACGGACAGGTGTGCGTGTATAAATACCCCAGCTCCCTTGCTGGAGCTAATTCCGGAACATGTGCTTTGCATTGTTTCCAAGCTTCCACTTGGGATTAAGTACCACTTGCCCACTCTGGATGCTGTCTTACTAACATACTCTGTTAGTAAGGCAGTAAGACATACCTACGGGGTATCTCTTCTGGCTACTTCTACTTGCACCTGCTAATCAACTGCTTGTATTCCAGTTCTTGGCTTTGGGTCTGCCTTGGAGGGAACCCAAACTCAGACAAAGCATTTCTCAAGTCTGATAAATTTGAAAGACCCATTCACTCTCTTACATTTTTTCTTTTCTTATCTGTGGTCCTAAAGTTTTATTTACATTTTTTTTTCTGACAATTGTATCATGTGTTTTCTTGTGATCTGCTTTCTGAATGCCTTGCAGAACAAGGCACAGCAAAATGAATGTTTAAAAGAAAACCACATCATGTCATGTAAAGATAAAACATGCAGTAGATAAATGGTTTAGAGTATGATTCCAAACAGAAAAATAACTATGTAGGCACAGGAGGAAAAAAAAAAAAAACAGAAGAATGTTAAGTGCCATCAAGTCAGTTCCGACTCAACAACACTGTATAAGGTTTCCAAGGAGTGGCTGGTAAGTTTGCACCACCAATCTTGCGGTTCAAACTGACTCTGTGATCCAGTACTTCATCCCACAGTGTCACAATGATTAACTTAGGTTAATGTTTTCATCTTTACACTTACTTGCCCAGAGTCTTGGTGAGGCGCTGTGGGTTAATGCACCGGACTGCAAAGTCTGAACTGTAAGGTCTGCAGTTCAAGTTCATGTAAGGTTGGTAGTTCACGTTCACCAGCCATTCCTAGAAAATCCTATACAGGGTCGCTATGATTCAGAACTGACTCAGTGGTACTTAACAACAACAACTTATTTTCCCAAAGAGCAAGAAGCTTCAGTTTCTTCATCTGTCACATGCGGTAACAGTGTCTGCCTGGTGGCAGCTGCAGTGATTGTGGAATTAAGTGTGGATGTGATGTAGCACTTAGCACAGACCTGGGATCACAGAACGTGTCTAGCAAAGAGTAGCCAGGGCTGATACTACAATGTTCACGGTCAGAAAAAAACAACCCAGAAATTTAAAAGGAAACTGTTAGACACAGAAGGTGCTTGGTATTTTTCAAAGTGTCTTCACTTACCTTGGCTCATCTGTCCCTCACCATCACCCTGCAACAGGGTACACACTTAAGGGGAGGTGGTAAGGAGGAGACACGACCAATATTTACGGAACAGCTACAATGTGCCAGCTGCTCCAACTGAGAAAGATGAGGCTTTCTGCTCCAGAAAAAGATTTAAAGCCTTGGAAACCCTACAGAGGGTTGCTATGATTCCAAACTGATTCCAAAGCACTTAACAACAACAAAACAACGTGCCAGACACCACCATGTGGGGCCTCTGTAGACACCTGGGATGAGAAGGCTAGGGCTTAGAAAGGTGGAGACTCTTGCCCAAGTTACAGAGACAAGACCAAGAGCGCTAATGCTATCACACCGCATTGTTCTATCTGCTGTGCTCCTACATCCCCCTCTGCCCTGAGCATACATTCAGATCACTTTGCTGACCATCAGCAGTCCATACCCACACTTTGCTCCTTCCTACCTCTGTGGCCGTGGTTAGTGCAAATCTCCCACCAAATAAACATTCACAAGTCAGTCCTGTACTTGCTAAGCAAACAGCAGATTCAAGCTAAGTGCCATAGCAAAACCTCCTAATCAGTTTGCTTGTCCCAAGTTCTCTGACATGAAAATTCTGGAACTGCCTTCTAGGACATGGGATGTGACATCATGATGGTAATGGGTGTGGGTATCAGTCTATCTCAGTCCTCCCCGGGAATCCATGTCTGTTCAGCATCGAGCATGCTCTGGAGAGTTTTCCTTGCAGGAGACCTAGTTATTCTAGAGTCCTGATGCCCCGCCCCCTCCCCACAGCAGGGCTGCTTGGGACAGGGTGGGGGCTGTGGACTGAGCAGTACATCACAAAGCACTTCAGATAAAGTCTGCATATCCTTGACCATGCTGGTCCTCTGTACCTCACCTCCTCCTCGCCAACGAAGCCCTAGGGAAGCTCCTAGACTCACCAGACTAAGGCTGATATCTCCTGTACTTGGTGTGCCTTCTCCCAGATAGTGTCCACATAACACGTCTGGGTTGGCCTGAGAGCCTCCGGGAGGCTGCCCTGCAGTACCCCTCTCACCAGCAAGCTCCTCGAGAGAGCCCAGGGGCTGGCCTGGTTCAGCTCCCAGCACAAGTACCCTGTAGTGTTTTGTCACCGTGAGTCCCTTAGGCGGAGCCCCCACTGCTCTCGCAGCCATGGAATTCTTTCTGTCTAGCCTTTCAAAGCCCCCTCCTCTGCTCCTTCTGCCAAAACACTTTGATTCCTCTGAGTTTCTATAGGATTCCCCCCAACCCTCACCACCTAATTATGCTTTAATGGTTGTGTCTTTCGGGATATGCTGCAAAGACACCAACCTCTTCACTTCTGCTGAAGAATAAAGCCATAACTGTTGCAGCCATGTCACAGCCTTGCTCAAAAGCCCTCCGTGGCTCCCTATTGCCTCTTGAATAAGTCCCAGGTTCTGGCATTGAGTCTGGCTGTGAAGGCTGGCCAGGAGCTCTTCCCCCTATACTCCACCAGGACCAGCCAACTCATGGGACCTCCTGAAGGGTGCTCTCTACTCTTCCAGAATGCAATCACTTTAGTCCCAAATCATACCGAATGATAGAGTTCAACCCAAAGGTTTTTCATTTTAGATTCTTCCTATTAGGAAACAGCTTCCCTCCTTGGAATCCTCATTAGCACTTTGTTTTGCCTCCTTACTTCCAACAGAGAATAATATCTGATTTCTCTCCTTAACTTTGAAATCAAGCATGTTGTCCTGTGATCTGAGCCTAGCGCAATAGCTTGTGCATAATACTAAGTCAGTGTTGCAATGTTCCCTATTTCTAAGTTGAACTAGATGGTTGGTGGTTCAAGACGCACCAGCCTTGGAACACAAAGGGAGAAAGAGCAGGCTGTAAGCTCCCATAAAGACTGACAGGCTCCGAAGCCCGAAGGAGCAGTTCTACACTGTCCAACAGGATCGCTAACAGTTGGAATGGACTCATCAGCCATGAGTTTTTATTTGTAAATTTCTTCCTAAATTCCCTAGCTCCTTAACTTGAATGCTTCTCCTCCCGCTGACTTTATCAGAGCACACAGCAGCTACCCAGGAGCCCATGCTATGTATGTGTGTTCCACTGGGGTTTCCATTGCTGATTTTTCAGAAATAGATTTCCGGTTTCTTCCCAGGTACCTCTGGGTGGACTTGACCTCTTAACCTTTCGGTTAGCAAGTGATGCATGAACTCTTTGCATCACCCGCTCTGAGTTTTGTTCTCAAATCCCTCGGGGGTGGGGTGGGTGGAGGGGCTTTTAAAAAATGCTGATTCTGATTCCTGTGGTCCTGAGGGGTGGGGAGGGAGCCCCCAGGTGATGCCGAGACTACGCCCACTGACCATACTGTGAGTAACAGAAGCAGTTTCACCTGTTGAATAGGCAGCAGCTCTTAGGTGGAGCATGAGCTGGACCCCAGGTGGGAGAGTGGTGGATGAGAAGCTGTCTACCCGCCCTTCAGGCCCAGCTGGGGCGAAGAGTTCAGCCTCCCTTGGTACCTCCCACGCGGCCTCCTGCGGCTGACTTACCTATGGTGGATATCACCGTGCCCACGAAGTAGAAGGCGCCAGCGAAGTCCCAGCGCGGGCGGACGCTGTCCACACGGATGCCAGCTGCGGTGGCCTCCTCGTAGAGGCGGAGAAGGCCACGCAGCTCATCGAGGCTGAGGTTGTGGCGGCGGCTGAAGTTGGCCAGGCGCTCCTCCCAGCGTTGCTTGGCCTGGCGCTCATGCGCCCTCTCCAGCGCGGAGAAGACGGCGGCGCCACCCAGCAAGTACAGCACGATGAGCGCGGCCAGCAGCAGGAAGCGCGCGTTGTCCTCGTTCAGGGGGCCCGGGCAGCAGCTGCAGCCCCCACCCCGGCCGGCCATGGCCGGGCCCAAGGGGCAGCCCCGAGCCGAGGCGTAGGAGGCACGGGGGAGATCGGGGCGTCCCCAGGTTGCGTGGCTCCCCGGGCTGCAGCCTCCACTGCTCCAGCGGTGCCAGCTCCCCACTTCCGTGTGGACTCGGTTTCAAATCCGCTTTGTCGCCCCCGCCCCGCCCTCCTGGAGTTGTCCTGACCGCACCGCTCCAAGTGCCCGGGAGCAGGTTCCGCTCGGCTGGATCACAGTGCAAGCGTTCACTCCCAGCCCAGCTCGCAGCTCGCAGCTCGCAGCCGGCTTGGTTCAGTCTTGGGAAGGGGCGTGGTGCGTGTTGTGCGTGGACTCAGATGCACCTGAGTTCCCCTGCAGGTGAAGGTCTGGCAACCCTGGAGACCAGCGGGTGAGAGGCGCCCTGGCCTCCGTCCCTTTGATCATCGCTGCTCCAGCGCCCACTGAAAGGATGTCAGGTCTCCTGTTGCAGGTTTGGACGGTGCCTCTCTCCGAATGGTACTGGGGTCCCAGCCTTTGGCTTCTGAGTCACCTACCCGACTGGTCCGGCACTGGCGCACCAGCAGCTGGGCTGTGAGGTTCGGCGCCCGTGGGTTCTGACTTCCCTCACAGCCCCGACGTTGCGTGGCATCGGCGGGCGCCTGGGTTGTGGAGAGGAGACGGAAGAGGGAGGTCGGAATAGGGGAGGTTGGAATGGGGGAGTGAGCAAAGTTAGGCGCAGCCCTGCCCCTCCTACCCCTGCAGAGCGCCCTGGACCGCTGGGTTCGCCGCCTCCAAGCATTGGTTGCGCGCAGTGAACCAGCTAGTGCAGCCCTGGGAAAGCCGGTGCCCAGGACTTGGTGACTCCCGCCAGTCTCTTCACCTTCTCCCGGCCTGAACTGCCTCCTCGCTCATCAGAGTTTTGGGGCGAACCGGGGCTCCATGCTTTGCCTCAGTGTTCTCCCCGCCCCCCACAGACCGCTTGAGGCCCCCTCCCCAAGACCTCCACCCTTCAGGGGGCGCTGGCACTGCGCCATGCTCTCACCTTGTGTGGAGTGCCCCTCTGCGCCGCTTCCCTCGGGTCCTGTCCCGGGCCACCTCCTCTCGGTGGCCCTGCCTGGTCGGTCGCGTGCGTGGGGAGCCGAGCTCCCGCTCTGCCTTCCCTAGCGGGTGCGCTCCCGACGCTGCAACAGGTGGAGCCGCGCGGCTGCTGGCGGTGGCGACTCCACCCCATCGTCCCCCGCCTCCAGGCCACACTGGGCCGCCCCTTTTGCTGGTCTCTGCTGGCAGACGCTGAGGCACTCCGCCGGCAGAGGCCAGGCTTTTAGTGCTCACACCCCCAGAGCACTGCACCGCAGGATTGGTTTGAACCACAAAGTTGGCGGTTCAAGCTCACCAGCTGCTCCTTGGAAAGCCTATACAGGGTCACTATGGATTGGAACCGACTCGACGGCACTTGCCACCAACAACAACCCTCCCTCCGCTCCCCAGGGTGAAGATCCGAGAGTGGGTGGTAAAGACGCGGGTTGGTGCTTAATCGGCCTACTTGGACACTTTTGGGGCCGGGAGAGGGCGCTCGGTACCCTTTAGGCACGTCTCTTGTGGACCTGTGTACACTGCCACGCTCTGGAATCACCCACCCAGAGTATGCTGGAGAGTGAATGTGGATGTGTGAACGAATGGGTGTGAGGAATCTTTGAAGTAAGCAGAATTTACCCATTTCATGATAGTGCTTCTAGTTTGAGAGGACCGCACACACACACACACACACACACACACACACACACACACACACACACGGCTCTACTCATAAAAGTATTTCAAATAAATACAGCTCCAGATCCAATGCATCACCACCATGAACCCTGAAGCCCTCAGAGGTTACCCATCCCCCGAACGCCCCTCTCATCCAGCCTCCTGAGGAGAGCTTCAGGGGTAGGGTGTGAGAGCAAGGGTAACCCAAGGTAAATCCTGCAATTACGTTTTCCATCTTGTCATATGAATTTTAAAGCATACGGAAAAGTTGAAAGAATTTTACAATGATTACCACCACCTACAGTGAACATTTTGAGAGTCCTGGTGTGGCACTGTGGGTTAATGTGTGGGACAGCAACCACGGTTTGAACCACAAGGTCAGCGGTTTAAGCTCATTAAGTTGCTACTGGGAACCCCTGTCTTTATGAGTCTGAACTTACCTTGACCAACCCATTTCTCTCTCTATTCATTAATCTATCTTATTTGTATGGATGCATTTCAAAGTAGATTATAGAAATTTAATAGACTTCCCCTCACATTTCTATCTGCATATCATTTACACAGAGTTCAAGATTTATATATAAAAATATATATTGTTGTTACCCATAGCCAAACTATACAGGGTTTCCAAGAAGCAGCTGGTGGTTTTGAACTGCTGATCTTGGAGTTCACAGTCCAGTGCTTATCCTACCATGCCACACAGGGTTGCTATGAGTTGGAGCCGATTTTAAAACACAATTATATGTATATGTTGTTGTTACATGTCGTTGAATCGATTCTGACCCCTAGCAACACTGGATAGGGTTTCCCAGGACCAACTGCTGCTGCAGCTGTGTGCCGTGGAGTCGGTTCCAACCCATAGCGACCCTGCACAGGGTTTCAGAGGCTGTAAATCTTAATGGGAGCAGAACGCCTCATTTTTCTCCTGTGGAACAGCAGGTAAGTTTGAACTGTTGACCTTGCAGTTCACAGCCCAATTCGTAACCACTACGCTACCAGAGCTCTTTAAGGAACAACTAGTGGGTTTGAATCACTAACCTTGTGGTTCAAACTGACCTTGCAGTCCAGTGCATTATCCTGCAGTGCCATACCAGGACTCCATGCACACATATATATGTAAATGGTGGTGGTGGTGGTCGTGGTCGTGGTGGTTATATGCCATGGAGTCAGTTCCGACTCATAGCAACCCTGTACAGGGTTTCCGAGGGTGTAAATCTTATGGGAGCAGAAAGCCTCATCTTTCTTCTGCGGAACAGCTGGTAGTTTCGAACTGCTGTCCCTAACGTTAGCAGCCCGACTTGTAACCACTACGCTATCAGAGCTCCTCATATATAAATGAAGAAGCTCAATATACATGTAATGCAATTCCTGTCTTAGGTGTACAATTAAATGAGTGCTGACAAATGCATACACCTGTTCAAACCAACCACCTACCTATCCAACCAATCAAGCAAACATCACTTACAGGACAGCTTCTTTATGTTTGTTTCCAGTAAATCTTAAACCATGTTCCTTCCAGCAATCATTGTTCTCGATGCCAATTAGTTTTGCCTGTTACAGATCTTCATGTAAATGGAACTATAGCACTGCATACTCTTGTGTTAAGTATAATGTTCTTTTTAGATTTATCTACGCTGGTTTGTCAGTTTGTCACACTTCGGTGGCTTGTGTGTTGCTGTGATACTAGGAGTCTTGTCACTGTTGTTTTAAATACCAGCAGGGTCATCCATGATGGACACGTTTCAGTGGAGCTTCCAGAGGAAGAACAGGCGATCCACTTCAGAAAGAGGTTGTGAGGTGGCGTTGAGTTGGTTCCAACTCACAGTAACCCTGTGCACAACAGAATGTGACACTGCTCAGTTCTGTGCCATCTTCACAATTATTGTTACATTTGAGCCCACTGCTCCTGCCACTCTGCCAATCCATCTCACTGGGGGGAGGTCTTCCTCTTTTCTGCTGACCCTTCACTTTACTAAGAATAATGTCCTTCTCCAGTGACTGTTTCCTCCTAGTAACATGTCCAGTGTATGAGAGATGAAGTCTTACCATCCTGGCTTCTAAGGAACATTCTGACTATACTTCTTCCAACACAGATTTGTTTGTTCTTCTGGCCATCCATGGTAATTTTAGTGTTCTTCACTAACACCGTAATTCAAAGGCATCAATTCTTCTACTGTCTTCCTGAGTCTAAGGGATTAGCCCCTGAAAACCTTAGGAATAGCAGTAGAGTACGGATTGACATAGAGCCAGATGATAAACCCCTCAGATTAGAAGGTAACATAAATAGGACTGGGGAAGAGCTGCCTCTTTAAAGTAGAGTTGACCTTAATGATGTGGATGGAGCAAAACTTTCAGGACCTTCATTTGCTGGTGGGGAATAACTCAAAATGGAAAAAAAAAAAACAAAAAACGTTGCAAACATCCATTCATAATCAGAATATGGAACGTATGATATATGAGTCTAGGAAAATTGGAAGTCATTAAAAGTAAAATGGAATGCATAAACACCGATATCCTAGGCATTGTTGTTGTTGTTAGGTACCATCGAGTCAGTACCAACTTATAGTGACCCTATGTACAACAGAATGAAACACTGCCCAGTCCGGGGCCAACCTCAGAATTGTTGCTACACCTGAGCCCAACACTTCTACCACTGTGCCAATCCATCTCATTGGAGTCTTCCTCTTTTTCTCCAACCCTCCACTTTACCAAGCATGATATCCTTCTCCAGTGACTGGTCCCTCTTGACAACATGTCTGAAGGATGAGAGATGAAATCTGGTCATCCTGGCTTCCAAGGAGGATTCTGGCTGCACTTCATCCAACACAGCTCTGTTTGTTCTTTTGACAGTCCATGGTACTTCTGATATTCTCCTCCAACACCATACTCAAATGAATCAATTCTTCTTCCTTATTCACTGTCCAACTTTCGCATGCATATGAAGTTATTGAAAATACTGTGGCTTGGGTCAGGTGCACCTTAGTTCTCAAAATGATACCTTTGCCTAGGCATTAGTGAGCTGAAATGGATTGGCATTGGCCATTTTGAATCAGACAACCATACAGTTTACTATCTTGCAAATGATACATGTGAGAACAATTTCTTCACATTAATTATAAAAAGTAACATTTCAAGATTTATCTTAAAATATAATGCTGTCTGTGATAGGATAATAGCCATATACCCACAAGTAAGGCCAGTTAATACAACCATTATTCAAATTCATGTACCAATAAAGACAATGATGAAGAAACTGAAGAATTCTG